TAGGAACCCCAGCGCCACTTGAGGCTTCTGAAAACAAGGACTTAGAATGAAACCAGTTATAGACCCCTGATCGCAGACTTCTGCTTTTCTGTGACAAGGAGACTTGATTGGAAGTAGCATATCCCTACCCGCTGTTTCTTGTTTGGATTTGTTGTCACCTCTGCAGCAAACCTGTGCAGTTGCTGGCGTACTTCATCTGAATAGTTTCGATTCTTCAAACCTTCAGGACAAAGGGAAACAGGTGGAGGATTCCTGTACAGAAGACAAAACAGGATTAAAAAAGGATCCCAAAAGAGTCATTCATGTTCATGGGAATTTTCTCACATTGCCACAAGTGGTCAAAAACACCAAGAAAAAACTAGCTCCAAGAAGCAGCCAACTTGAGATGCAAAACCATCCTCTGCATCTCTAATCCCTGCATCTGTTAACTATAGCAGAAAAAAAAAATTTGGTTCCCCCATGCCACGGTACCTCTTCCTGCAACGGAATTTCTGCAGTGGTGTCAGAAAATCCGTGTGGTGTTTCTCCATAACCCTCCGGTAGTGAATCTCATGCCAAAGCTGCACCAGCTCCTCCTTCTCTTCTGCCTTGCAATACTAAAACAAAATAGTATGTAAGCAGACCCTTTCCAGGTAGTCAGGCAGGCTTCCTCTAAAGGAGAAAACCCTCAACAACTAGCAACTTACTCAGAGATTCCTACTGGTTTGACAAAGCTGGTAGCATTATCCAAGTATATTGCTCACTGTACCTTACCTAATGTACAAAGGGAGTTGCCTGCCTAATTCCTTCTTTTCCCGTAGTAAACAGGGCTACATTACCAGAGCTAGAGGCCCAAATCCCTCACCTTGAGTGGTGCCATCCAGCCTTCCTCATATCTTCCTGTCCTGGCAAGAGCTCTAAACTTGGCCTCCCCGAGGCTTTTACATCCTGAGCCCTAAGTTTGTGAAAAACTGCAAGAACCACCACCCTAGAGAACAAAAATCTTGCTTTGACAAACTACAGCCAACCCCCAAATCATCCAATTATCTTCTTCCCCTCGACTGATTAATAGTAACCACCTGTAGCAAAGGCTTTATCCTGTGTTTCAGGTCAAACAACACACACATATCACCTGCCACTCCCGTACGCCAGCTGGAAATGCTCCACGTGCTGCAGTTTGGGTACCTCTGCATTAACAGCTCTAACTACTAATACTGCTTTTTGTCTCCATGAAGAAACAAAGAACACATCCCTACCTCCAGGAGTCTGCAGGCTGTGTCATGCTGCCCGTTATGGATATGAACAAACACGCAAGCTCGGACAACATGGATGTTAGTGAGAAAATACATCTTGTGTTTGCATCCCATCATGGTCCCAACCAGCTTCTCCAGACCAGGAGACGAGTTCTGGAGGTCCTGGCAAAGCTGTCCTGCTAAATCCAGCAGCTTGGTGGGTGGGGGATCCTTGTTTTTATTCCTGTTTAGCATGGCCATGAACCGCTTCATCCTTATGTCCTGTTGGAAGCCTTTTCTATCCAATGCACAAAGTTGTGGTTAGATAAAAGCTATTATCTCCTATTTTTAGCTCTTATGGTATGCTTTTTTTTTTTTTAAGGGAGAAACTCACTGTGCTGTTAAAAGCAGCCTAAGGACCTCAAAACACTTAAAATAAAACTAGACTTAAAGAAGCCCTGAAAGGCTAAAGCCACACCAGGTTTCTAGTTGGGAAAACAGAGCTCAGAAAGACGCATTAAACTTGCCCCAAAACTCAGGAGTTGAAGGAGGAGGCCAAAGCTGCTGGGGGGAACTGCACACTGGGCTGGTCCCCACCTTCCCCGCTTTGGGCTGTGCGGGTGGCTGGGGGCGCTGGGGGTGCTGGCAGCCCTGCAGCACCCCACGCACATGCATGTGCCCCCAGGCCCTCCGCTCTCAGATCAGGTACCCCCATACCCAAATCACAGTATGAAGCTTTACACCCACTGCTTACAGGTTACAACTCCCAGAGCAGTAAGCCCTGAGCCGTCCAGGTGAAACTAATGAGCTTTTTCTCCAAAATGGCAGGGGACAGGCCGGGGCAGACAGCAATTACAGCGAAGTGGAACTCAAAACGATCGCCGGGGCTGGTTTTCGCCCGTTTGCCTGGGGAAAGGAGGCCGGCGCGATGCCCCAGTGCCCGGCGGGTCCCCTCGGGGCCCAGCCCACCTCCTTGCCAGGACAAAAGGGGAAAAAAGCTGTTACATACCTGCGAGGTTGAGGAGCGGGGGCTCCCCGGCAGCCCCGTCCCCTCCCGAGGCAGCGGGAGCGCAGCCCGAGGCG